ACAGGTTTGATATTGCGGTTGGTGTTCTGGGATATGCCATGCAGCTTTGGAGGACCGTGTATATCCGGGGCAGATACCAAATGTTGTCATGGGTTGCCATCCGGCGGCCCCCATCAAAAACGAGGGGCCGGAGAGAAAGCTTTACGCCTCATGGGCTCATGTGAGGTGGTCGTTTTCTGGTTCGTATATCCCACCTTCTGTTTTGGGGTAGGTTACGCTGGCGGTTTTCTTGCTTACCGCTGATCGTTTGGCACTTTTGATGGATGGGTCGGTTTATATCAAGCTGTGCCGGCACCTCAAGCTGTGGGATTTTTCCTAACAGACGGAGCTTCAGGTCAAGTTGCGCGGTTGATGCAGCTGAGACAAAAGATGTATCAAGCAAGTAATATTTACTTTATCTGCGGGTTTGCCGCCATTGGTATGCTTTCTTTCTTCTGACTTCTTCCTGCTTGGATTAATGGTTGAGGTATGCTCGACTCACAGCACATACTGATCATGGGAAACTCCAGGTGGCGCCCTCTTCGGCTTCGACATCTCGTCCTTGTCGGGAACGCTCGGTACCCAGGCCTACAAACGCTACTTCAACAATCCGGTGTCATACACTCAAGGCGGCATCACCGCCTCCATGCCCGCTGGTTCTTTGTTAGGCTCTCTCGTGTCGTCTTTCCTGGCAGACAAATACTCCCGCAAGGTAGCGCTGCAAATCTCTTGCGTGCTATGGATCATTGGCTCGATTCTCATGACCGCCGCCCAGAATATTGCCATGTTGTGTGTAGGGAGAGTGGTGTGCGGGTTCTCGGTAGGTATTGCATCGGCGATTGTACCGGTATACCAGAGCGAGATTGCGCCGAAGGAAATCAGAGGGAGGGTGGTGAGGTGAGCATTCTTCTTCCAGTATAGGAGATAATGACAGCTGACCGTACCTTTTCCTAGTTTGCAACAATGGGCTATTACATGGGGTATCTTGATGTGAGCACTTATTATCTTTTGCTGTTCCTGAGGGTGGATTGAGGCTGACATTGAGCAAGTCAATACTTCATCCAGTTCGGCGCTGCCCATGGCACCGGCGGCGGACCGAGCGATCCCGACCAACCTACTGCTGCTTTCCGGATTCCGTGGGGCGTTCAGATGGTACCTGCCTTCATCCTGCTCATCGGACTGTTCTTTTTCCCTTACAGCCCCAGGTGGTTGGCGTCCAAGGATAGATGGGAGGAGGCGCTCCAGGTCTTGGCGAACCTTCATGGGAAGGGTGATACGAGACACCCGAAGGTTCTGGCTCAGTATCAGGAGATTGAGGATGCTTTGAAGTTCGAGAGGGAACAAGCTGTTTCTTCTTTCAAGGCTCTGGTGGAGCCGAGAATGCTGAAGAGAGTGGCGTTGGGCATGAGTATTCAGATGTGGTCTCAGTTATGCGGCATGAATATCATGATGTGGGTGTTCTGGTGGTGTTTGTCTTGTGAGAGACTGAGGTCAGTGGCTGACACGAGAGCACAGGTATTACATCGTCTACATCATGGAAGGCGCTCAGATTGCCTCACCCCTGGCCACGGCCTCGATCCAATATGTCATCAACGTCGTAATGACCCTTCCAGCCATTCTGTTCCTCGACAAATGGGGTCGCCGTCCCTCGTTGATCTTTGGATCGTTTGGCATGATGACTTGGCTGTTTATCTCCGGTGCTCTTCAGCAATACTACGGACAGCCCAACACGGACGAGACACGAACCCCAGACAACGGCGACATCACCTGGATTGTTATTAACAACCGGCCCGTCTCGTCTGCCATCGTCTCGTGCTCGTACCTGTTTGTGGCTACCTTCGCAACGACGTGGGGTCCTGTCTCCTGGACCTATCCGGCTGAGATCTTCCCGTCCAAGATCAGGGCCAAGGCCGTGTCACTCTCGACATCAGCAAACTGGTTCTGGAACATGGTGCTCGCCTTTGCGGTACCGCCTTTGCTGTGGAACATCTCTTACAAGATGTATTACATCTTCGCAGCGTTCAACGGGGCTGCCTTCGTCCACATGGCGCTGATGGCGCCGGAGACGAAAGGATTTACGCTTGAAGAGATGGATGAGGTGTTTGACTCGGGGAGACCCGCGTGGAAGAAGTTTGAAAGAGGAAGCAGATTGGAGGAGCTGGAGAGGGAGATTGAGAGGGGCAATGTCAAAGTCTCGGTGCCTGCTGGTGGTCGACCTGTGGCTGGCGATCCGGAGCAGGGGTTTGAGATGAGAAAGGTGGCAACTCCTCCGGCTGCGGGAACTCCAGCTTCTTGAAAGTCAGGAGTTTGGGCGATATGGCTGGTATTACTGCGCCCTTGCGTCGTAGTGATTTTCTACTTCAGCAAAGATGTCGGTTCTCTAGCTGTTTGACGTCAGCTGTGATGGTACGCCGATGTGAGAGATTGGCTTGCCCTTGTAGCGCGGTCAGAAGATGTAAAAAGAAATGCTGTCTTCAGTTGTTACGTTTGAGATGTGTGGGGGGTGTCATTAATCTGTACCGTTATCTCTGGCAAATTCTCACCCTCAGTTCTGAATAGCATCAATGACGCATCCATGTAAGCAAAAGGGCGTATCTCCGTGATAAGTCCTAAAATCCGAGTGTTCAAAGCTCACATGTCTTGCCAAGCATCGCGATGTCAACTCTTGGGCATTATAAATCTCAGCTTCATGGAGTGGATACAGGCACAAGCGATGCAGTGACGGAAGCGAGTGTTCCGCCCCTACGTCAAGCTCTGACGATGCAGACCCCACGTCTTACCCTTCAATCGGTACCAGTTTGCTTAACCCCTTTTATCCCCGTGAATCTGAAGCTGCCCCTCAACCTGTGCGGGGTAGCTTCTTGTTTGTGACAAACCGCTCGTGGAGATCAGGAGGTGGGGGAAGGAGGACAAGAAAACACCACCTTGGGCAGGCACGATGTATAAGTAGTAGATATCCTACGCCAGACCCTTCTCCCATCAGGATCCGCTTCCGAACAACCAACACCCAACCAACATCTTCCCCCCCACTCTCGACTTACTTCCGAAACACTCAAAATGAGCGCCCCTCCAAAGACCCAGGCCCTCATCGACTCCCTCGCCAACTCAAAATGTGAATACCGCCGCCTCGGCCAATCCGGCCTCCGTATCTCGGTCCCGATCTTTGGGTGCATGTCCTTTGGCGACTCCAGGGCCATGAGCTGGGCCATTGACGAAGACAAAGCCCTCCCCCTCCTCAAAGCCGCCTACGACCGCGGCCTCAACACCTGGGACACGGCCAACCTCTACTGCAACGGCGCCTCGGAGGTGGTGATTGGAAACGCCCTCAAGAAGTACGACATCCCCCGCCACAAGGTCATCATCATGACCAAATGCTTCTGGGCACCCGGGGAGGAGATCGAACTCGCGGCCTGGCAGAACAACAGGGAGATGGTGACGCAGTCAAAGGACTACGTCAACCAGGGCGGTCTGTCGAGAACGGCCATCTTCAACCAGGTCGAGGCGAGCTTGAAGAGGCTGGATACCGACTACATTGATTTGCTTCAGATTCATCGGTTCGACCCGGAGACGCCGATCGAGGAGACGATGAAGGCGTTACATGATCTCGTGCAGAGCGGGAAGGTGAGATATCTGGGAGCGAGCAGCATGTGGGCGACGCAGTTTGCGAGGATGCAGTTTTGTGCCGAGAGGAATGGCTGGACCAAGTTTGTCTCGATGCAGAACCACTACAACTTGCTGTACCGTGAGGAAGAGAGGGAGATGAACAGATACTGCAACGATACCGGGGTAGGGCTCATCCCGTGGGCGCCGCTCTGCAGGGGCCATTTGGCGAGGAGGTTGGATGAGTTTGGATCAACGGAGAGGAGTAAGGGAGAGAAGGCTGGGCAGCCTGGGTCGCATGGAACGGTGGAGCCTGATGTTAGTATCATTAAGAGGGTCATTGAACTGGCGGACAAGCATGAGTGGCCGGTGAGTATCTTTGTCTTCTGCTTGGATCACCTTGGATGTTGACTAACTGGTCTATTTCAACCAGATCTCCCACGTTGCGCTGGCTTGGATCAACAAGAGAGTTACCAGTCCCATCATCGGATTCAATAGCGTGGAAAGAATGGAAGAATCCATTTCTGCTAGGGGCAAAGTATTGACAGAGGAAGAGGAAAAGTATTTGGAAGAGCTTTATCAGCCAAAAGCTATCCAGGGCCATGCCTAATAGCTGGCTGATGTATGTTGGTTGTACTCACTGTACATGTAAACAGAAATTTAACATTGAAGAAGCTCTCGTAGCAATTTGTTCACGCTGGTTGATGTGTAACTTACTGTTCAAGCAAGCATTTTAGGTCGCTGTAGCCTCATCTGAACATACCGGATATAATAGTATCTAGCAGACTGAGTGGACCAATGCACTCTTTGTGCTGCAGTACACCGTCTATTAGCTAATATAAGTTGTCTGTACTTCCAGGTTGCCAGAATATTGCTATCAAACTCCGCTCGGATCTAACCTTAGTACCTAGTGACTTCAAGCCACTCAGGGGAGGCTCAGATCAATGTTTCTTTGGGCGGCTCTTTCCCTGGTAAGACTCTACCATCTCCTAGAGTAGGCCGAAAAAAGAGTTTCGTTCACATGGCCTGTTTAACCCCAGACCTCTCGTTCAGCATGTGTCACATTGTGCACCCATGTGCATGAACTTGCACAAGTGTATCGGCATGCCGCATTTGAGACTAACCACTCCTTTGTCTCGGAGACATTGAAGCGGTCAACACTGTACAACATCCAGTTAATTAATCTAAAGCGTCGGTTTAGACCCAAGCTAAAGTGATCTTCACAACCCTTGTCATATGGACCATTGGTTTTCAGGGGCTGGTGTCTAGTGTATGTCTCCCTTCTAGGCTTTCTCAACCACTGTGAAGATCAAAAAAGGGGAGCTAGGCATAACTAGCCGAGGACGGACATAAGATCAGGACTGTGAGAATGGCTTAAAGCATCACCTCCAGATGGTGCCAGAGGGGAAAAAGATACAGGCCGATCGAGATGGGACTCGAACCCACAACCTCAGTCTTGAAACTCCTCTTAGTTGGGTAGGAGGACCACGCGCTACCATTGCGCCACCCGACCTGATTGGATTTGTTGGGATGCCGAGTCAGAGAATGGATCCAGAATGTGGATGGCCATATGCAAACGACCGGTGTTGAAGGTTTGAGTTAGGGTGGAGGCCCAACGGGGAGGGTTAGGGTTGATCTCTGAAAGGAATGTTCGAGAAGGACGGCTTGGTCCTTTGCTGGCACGAACGATGGGGCGTCATGATTTGGTGGTTGCTTGATGAAACGGCTTTGGTGCAGGTCGATCCATCCATGCTGCAACACTGGAGACGACGTGAGACGGCACCGGCAGACACCGATATCCCGAATCCCGACCAGGGAGGTTTCCCGGAGCCGCATCCGCGTGGTTTGTCTATCTGCTGTCACACAACACCGCCTCGTCAGGCGTGATCCGAGTACGGGACGAACCGCATTGAGCATTGGGACCAGATCAATCTCCGCGAAACAGAGTCTGGTGGAGAATTTCGAGAAGGGAGTTGTTTGTTGAGATGATGGGATGCGATTGGTGGGTTTCCACGTTTTGTCAGTCGGCTTCCAGAACAGCGGACAGCTTTAACCTTGTTCAACGGACAGGCGCAAGGCTTGTGCTGTTGTGCAAAGGGGGGCGGAAATTGATGGTGTCCACTTGGGTTGCTTTGGGTCCAGGACAGACTGTTGATTGGACACATCAGCTTCTTGAAGCGAAAAAAGTATTTTTGATTGTGGTGTTTTGGAGCCGCCAAACGTGGATGTGGGGCCCCGGATTTCGCAGTACCCGGGGAATTATGCACAAAGTTATGCAATCCCGTTGATGGCCGGCCAGCATCTCTGACGTGCAGAGAGTGACAGAATCGGCTTGAAGGTCGTCATCATGGTGGCAGTTGGCGGAAGGGCTCAAGGGCTTCTGGGAATTCGTCATCAGTTTGGTCGCGTTTCCAAAAGATTCACGATGTAGTTATGTATCCCGTCGTACGGAGACAGTGCCGTCGGGCTTCCGGCCGAGGCATGATCAACTTTTTAATGGAAAGGCTCCGTGCTTGGCATCCGACCCTGGAGGGTGAGGTGCACCGGGTCGCTGCCAAGCCGAGGTCAGGAATAATGCAGCCAGGCATCTTGTCGCCAGACCACACCCGGCATCTCGGGGAGTTAGCAGGCGCAACAGTCCGCGTTGCCCTGCCGCGGGCCGTTTGCGCCAGGTACAAAAACGATGGGGTCCCTCCCGTTCTGTCTTCTTGGCCATCTGCGATCTCCCGTCAGCCAAGAAGACTTGCCCAGATCCTCGGAGTGCCATCATCCCAACTTCGGATACCATGGCAGCTGAACGCACCGGATCACGAGACTCCATCATCGAGATGGACGCTCACAACAACACCTCAGAGAAGGCCGCTGCCTACGACAACTCAGACTTCGAAGCCGCCACCATTGTGCCTGACCCATCAGAGAGAGGAACGACATCAGGCAAGGATTCACCCGCCGTGAACGATGAGACCGTTCAGGACCCCAATATCGTCGACTTTGACGGGCCAGAGGATATGGCAAACCCCATGAACTGGCCCATGAAGAAGAGATGGCAGAACATCGCCGTCATCTCTGTTCTCACCATCATCACCCCCCTCGGTTCGTCCATGTTCGCCCCGGGTATCCCTCGAATTCTGGCCGAGTTCAACGAGAGAAGTACCACCACCGCTACCTTCATTCTCAGCGTCTACATTCTCGGTTTTGCCTTCGGTCCTCTCCTCGTCGCCCCATTGAGTGAGATTTACGGTCGATCCATCATGTACAACTGCGGCAACGTCGCCTTCCTCATATTCACCATCTGCACAGCTCTCTCCAATGGCATCCCCATGATGATGGCCTTCCGATTCCTCATGGGCATCGCTGGCTCAGTCCCCATCACGCTCGGCAGTGGAAGTATCTCCGACATGATGCCTGTAGAGTTCCGCGGACGTGCGATGGCCGCCTGGGCTATTGGTCCCCTTCTCGGCCCCTGTATCGGTCCCGTTGCCGGTGGTTATCTCATTCGAGCGGCCGGCTGGCGCTGGGTCTACTGGCTCATTGCCATTGTCACCGGCCTCATCACCGTCTTCACCTTCTTCATGCTCCGCGAGTCCTACGCGCCCGTTATCCTCGAGCGCAGAGCCGCGCGCCTCCGCAAGGAGACCGGAAACCCCGACCTCCGCTCCAAGCTCGCCGACAACACCACAACTCCCGCGGAGAAGCTCAAGGCCGCCTTGGTCCGTCCCATGTACTTCCTCTTCTGTGTCCCCATCGTCACCCTCCTCTCTCTCTACGTTGCTGTTACCTACGGTGTCCTTTACCTTCTCTTCACCACTTTCTCCCTGGTCTTCGGTCAGAGCATTCTCGGTAGCGGCTACGGCTTCGGGGAGGGTGAAATTGGTCTCGTCTTCATCCCCTCAGCCATTGGCATGGGCCTCGGTATCGTCGTGTTCGGCGCCATGAGCGACAAGCTGGTTTCGCAAAAGATGAACAGCGGCGAGACGCACAAGCCTGAGATCAGACTGACACCCTTCCTGACCATCCCCGCTGGTGTCGCGCTACCTATCGGCTTGTTCTTGTACGGATGGACCACCCACTATGGTGTTCACTGGATCGTGCCCATGATCGGTGTCGTCATCTTCTGCTTTGGGCTTATGGGTATTATGATGGCTTGCCAGAACTACTTGCTGGTTAGTATTCTCCCCTTCTTGTTTTCTGGCTTTGATCAAAAAGATACTGACACCATTCAACAGGACGCCTATCCTAAGAGCGCCGCTTCCGTCACTGCCGCCCTCGCCGTGCTGAGATCTCTCGCCGGTGCTCTCCTCCCTCTCGGTGCCATCGACATGTACATCGCCCTCGGCCTCGGATGGGGTAACTCTCTCCTCGGCTTCATCTCCCTCGGCCTCATTCCCCTCCCACTTCTCTTCTTCCTTTTCGGCGAAAGAATTAGAGGTGTCAAGAAGGCGCCCACTCCCACAGAGGTTTGATTACCCTTGTGCTATCTTCTCATTTCAAGTTCATTGTACATTGATGGCATCTTTCTCTTTGGCTTATGAGCAAAACTTTCTACTGCATAACCGGCGTTTGGGTGTGATACAATCATGGCATTTTAGAGGGAATTGGATACATCAAAAGCAAGCGAGCAATGCTGTTCATGCTGCTAATGGTTTTTTGGATACACGCGTTCATCATAAGAGATACCACTAGAGTTTAACGTTGTTTTTATAGAGCTTGTACATACTACTACCTAATCACCATCCAACAAGGCTCTGTCATCGATATACAAGAGAGATTCCGCGCCCTCTTAGCCAATTTCTTTCCCCGCTCCTCGGAGTGTTTCCAAAAAGAATCACAATATGCTGCTCTATTCCCCAGTATCCAAAGCTTGCAATTCCTGCTGCTACGTCCTTAGCTTGGCGCATTGAACAGTCACAACGCCCCCATTACGTGGGCATAGCAGGGTTCCGTCGGGCATGATCCTACACAATCCTATCTCATCTTCCATGGCCCAGTCCCCAGGCAAGAAGTAAAACCGCTCAATATCAGCACTCGACCTTGAAGAGCTCGCCCCAGGTCGAGGCAAGCGCCAAGTGCATATCCATCTGTTGATGTCCAGGAATACAAATCTCCTCCTTGACAAGAGCGCAAGGGGCTCGCGGATCCGAGATGAGACATCCGTTGGCAGGATGATGGGCCTGATTTCTTGATTCGTGACATGGGAATCGGGCTGCAACGTCGAGGCATCAAACAGTAGGTATTGACTGTCTCGCTTTGGCGAAGGGGGGGGCAGAGACAGCTCCAAGAGCACGTAGGGCGAGTCCGGGTTCGAGATGACTTTTCTGAGAACTCTTTTCGGTTTTCCCTCCTCCTCCGCCAGTGTTTGCTGGTGTTCGGTAGCTGACAGGGGAACTGTGCATGTTTGTATGGGCTGAAGGGTTTCCCATTCGAAGATGCGTATCGAACCAGCTTCGAATCCGAGTAGATATTCGGATGAGGTCGGATGGCACAACCACTTGATGTCTGAACCATCAGACAGTTCCGATTTATGGACCTTGTGAGTTTGAAGATGAGTGCATAGCAGCATTGTGCTCCGTGCAGTGAGAAGCCGTTGGCCGTCAGGGTGAAACAGCAGCTGCCGCACATGCCCTTCGTGGGTGGGTATGATCGAATCAAACTCATGAGTGATCTCCCACTTATTCCAGTCCTGGTCGCTTCTCGAAACCTTCTTAACTGAGAGTCTGCCGCTGAGGTCAAGCAAAGCCACGTATCTGCCGTCCTCACTCCAAACAAGTTGTTCGATCGATATATATCTTGGAAACTCTTCCAGTGTGCCAACCTTCCCTTTGCCCACTTCACACAACGACGCGACCCCATCCTCAGTGCCATAGCAATAGAGGGGTCCAACCAATTGACCAGAGAGTGCAAGCACAGTTGTTTCCCTGAAAAAGTTATGCTCTGCGTGTAGTGAGACCTTTGCCAGACTGCCTGCAAAATCACTCATGGCATCACTGTTGTGGTCGGGGTATTCCGATCTCTCGGCCAACCGGGCAAGCGCGTTGGGCTCCCAGACATTGCCATAAACACCACGAATATCGTATATCCTCCGCCCATCTGGGTCAAAACACAGGTTGGTAACCCCGTCTTGAGAAGAGAGCTGGTACACGAGACTCAGGTCCGTGGACAGAAAGACCTTGATCGTACCCAAACAATCACCCGTAGCTACGAGTGATCCCTCTAAGCTGACAGCAAGGCAAGACCCACCAGCGTGTGGCACTTTGACCCTGATCTCTTGTTCGAATGAGTTCAGTTTGAATAGCACTCCATCCCGAGTCAGTCCAAACACCTCCTCGTTGAACGGATGCCATGCGAGGGCAATGACATCTGCAAAAGCGGATGTTTGGTTTGTCATGTCCGACCCATCTAGGGCCAAACTGCATGTCCCATAGAGTCGTAGCGGCTCGAGCTCCCATATAGTGATTGGGTGAGCACGATAGCCATATGCCACCATTTTCCCGTCAGCACTGAACGCTGAGCACG